TGCTGGGGATAAAATTATTTAGTCCTGTATTACTGTGCAGATTCCTTCTTAGTGATTTACTGGAATTTTATAAATGCTGAATATTACTCTCCTTTTGCCATAGGTTCTTGTCTGTGTGCAACCTCTGATGAAGCAGTTGAGTCTGGTTTTAGCATTTTACTGTAGATCAAATTCCATTGTTTTTATGCCTTTTTTTTTTGCTTATCTGTTAGCAGAAAGCATTATACTATCTCTTGTCACTTGAGAATGCATATTATGTCTCAAGTAAAATTATATCCTGTTCCTGTGCCTCCTTTCTTTTACATGCAACTGTTATTTTCAGCCTCTGCCTTTTTGCCTTCACTCCCTAAGGATTTCCATTGTTCTGCGAGCTTTATGAGATAATTTCTAACAGGTCTATAGAGAATCTTGGCTGATGACAAAAAAAGTGGTTAAAAGTTTCAAAGACCATTTATTACCTTATTTCTAACAAGACAAGTCACTATCTAGATACACATTCATCACTGTCTTTTAACACAGGCAGTTTTTTGGCACCAGTTTCCCTCCTCCCTGTGTTAGTACGGAGCACGACTGCCAGAGATCCCTGGCATTGAGTATGTCGCTGCTGGAGCATGGTGGGCTGACATAAGGGTTACCATGTGTCATTGTGCAGGGGTTTCCCTGAAATCTGATCAATCTGAAGTTCAAGAAACCTTAAAATTAAGCGGTGTCAACCAGATCAATAGGTAGTAGATAAAATGTATTTTTGTATCAGCTAGATTGCATTTCTACCTACATATTATGCTTGGTATGTTGGTCTAGAGGCAGGGACCAGGAAGTATATCCAAACTTCAGCTCCAGCTGATAGTGTAACAGCTACCTAATTTAGTAGGCAGGTAGTTTTAAGTTTGAAAGCAAATCCTTGCCATATTATGATTGCATGAACAGAAGTTTGTTTGTTCTGTGGCTTTAACTCAACAATATTAATTTTTGTCCTCAAAGAGAATAGAAGATGCAGTACAAATTAAATGTAAAAAATAACTAGGCTTCTTAGTATTGGATCAAAATGGATTACTTGTATTCTTCCACATCTCTGAGGCCTATTTTGTTCTCAATTTTAGGGCAAAAATGCATTTTTCAAAGACCTTACTTCAATTCAGCTGCTACCTAGTGGGGATATGGATCCAAACGTGTTATCCATACGACAACAGGTAGGTATATGTTTTGTACTGAAAGTTCTTAAACTTCCAACATTTCCAATAATACTGAAGTAACCTGCCATTTTTGCTTCCAAGTTCTTGGTCAAAGTTGTGAGTGCAGCGGTTCAAACACTATGTTCATCACAAAAGGCCAAAGAAGTCTCGGAAGAGGAATTGTTTCCTTTTGAGAAGGGGAAGAATTGGCCAGCTTTGGCTGCGGACCTGGCTCAGTATCTTCAAATCTCTGAGGATGTAATCAAGAGGCATTATGTCTGTGAACTGTATAGTTATGGGATGGATCATCTTGGTGAAGAGGTAATAACAGCTTTTAAATCAATACAGCATTATGTCAGATACTGTGCTAAAGTTACTTTTTCACTTAATACTTCTCTAACCCTTCCAGGCATCTTATCAGGCTCAAAAAAATCCCGAGGCTGGAAAAGTACCTTTTCAAGACTAATAATTACTCTCATTTTTCCTTCTTCCAAAGAAGAATCTGTGTATAGCAACCAGCAGAAACACGATAGGGAGTTATGCTATTGGTCTAAACCAGTACAACCTTTTTTATTTTACTCTATTTGATAGCTTCAGGAATCTGCTTTTTTGTCTGTATTCTCTTCTTTTAGGAAAAGTTTACCAGTCCTTGGACAAGAAAGTCCTTCCCTTGAGGGGAAAAATTAACAAGAGATTATATAGAGGTTAGGAATATGTTGCTAACTGTAAAACAGATCTCGTGCTCATGCTAATCAGCATGTAATGTCGGGAGTAATTCTCTGCTTTTGTTCACTCTTCTGCTGTTCTGAAGCTTTTACAAATGTGCTTTATTACAGTAACAGGTAGCACTAGAAACAGTCTCAAAACTATTTCTCCTTTTAGTATCAAGAAGCTTCTTTTGATCCAGTTTTTCAAGCCTCTAGATAAGTGAGCTGTGTCATGCTGAAGTGGTTTCTAGTTCCTTATATATTTCTGTTTTCAGGCCTTTCTTCAGGTGACTGACAAAGAAGTGCTTGCGTCACAGCTGCTCATACTGGCTGGACAGAGACTGGCCTTCGCTTTACTTCATACGCAGACAAAGGAGGGTATGGAACTCCTCGCTAGGCTTCCTCCAACACTATGTACTTGGCTCAAAGCTATGGTAAGTTAAGCTCGATTTAGGAAAACAGGTTGATTTTCAGAAGCTTCTGTTCACCAAGACAGATTACATCTGAATGGCTCTTTCTTACTAATGGAAAGAAGCATTTCTTCTCCTTTTTCCTGGTGCTAGTTCTGTTTCATGAAGGGTAAAGCAGTTTCACGGGTCAAAGCATCAGCTTGAGTTAATAAACCTTTGTAACCTTTTATACAAGTTCAGGAGGGCTTCTGTGCAGATGATAATCTGTAAAATTACTCTAATGCTGTTTTTATCCTTTATATAGGACCCCCAGGAACTTCAAAATGTAGAAGTGCCAATTGCAACAACAACTAAACTAGTTAACAAAGTCATCGAGCACTTACCGGAGAATCACGGGCAGTACAGCCTTGCCTTGAACCTGATCGAGGCTGTAGAAGCCATCTCCTCGTGACGTTCTTGGCTAGCACAGTTCTGCTCTATAGTGGTATAATGCATGATTTTACACAATGAGGCTGAACTTCACAGACAGAAACTTCTGTGTGGCTTTTGTTAAACAACAAAAAGAACAATACTCCCCCTCCCAGAATTTCAGAAGGTAATTTTAAATTGGAGTATATTTAAAATTCTGCGCTAATACAAAGATGTTTAGTTTCTAGTACACTTGTCAGTATCTGAAATGCTTTGTTATTTATTTCTGACTTGAGTGCTTTTCGCAGTAGTCTAAATCGGATATCTTTGACAACAGTTTTAGTCTATTTACAAAAACACATCTTGTGGAATTCTGTATTTCATGCTGGCAGTAACTGCTGCAGTTCCAATGTTCCATGTATGATTTGTTTTTCAAAACAAGCTGTAGAATTACACCGAGAAAAACTTCGGTCTGAAGTTACCATGTAAAGCCAATACTGCTTTTGCAGAAGCTAGAGCTGGTGTCGGGCTCATACCTTGTAACTGCATTATACGTGACAACGATGACTGCACTAGACATAGGAAGAAATGTGCTGGGGCCTTATGTGAAGGGAGAACAGCACCCAATAGCAACAGCTTGGGAAGGAGAATCCAATTCTCCAGCCACAAATATGGACTCATCTTTCAGTCCAGATCTCCCAGTGTTGTCTCTAGGGTGCTGGGCTTCAGCTAAGACTGGATTTACATCCCTCTCCTTTATTGTTAAGGTCTGCTGAGTTTAAGTAGGTCAAGGAATATCTTCCTGTAAGATTGTTCCCCCATCTTATCACTGTAGAAGATGTAGTATGCTATAAAGCTCTGCACATGTTAACTTGTAGTCAAAAACTGCTTAAATAGTTGACCCAACTTCACTGAAGACCTGTAGTACTGAGTACTTTAGCCTTAAAAACCCTCACTTTTATTTACAGTACCTACAGGGAATCATATAGTGAGTATCTTCGCTATTGGAGTGGTATGAAACATGATTATCTTGCATCAGTTAGTACTGTTTACTTTCTACCTAAAGGAAGCCAGGAGAGAAAAATGAAATTGGTGTAAACTATTCTTGCCTTGAAGTCAGCTGAAATTACTTGCTCCATCTTGTAACCTGCTCCTCTTGCATTATATGTAAGAAACATTCAGACAGAATTTGATCTTATCTTTCTGAAGTATATGTCCTCCTAAAAAAAAAAAATTACGTAGGTGGCTTGTTCTACATAGCCTCCTTCACCTGTTCAGCATCCCCCCTTCCTCATCACTGCACTTTACTATAGCTGAGGAAGGCTTCTTGAAAAGTTTGGATACTAAATGTTTGACTTCCTACAGTGATACGGTATCAGGCACAGGGTACTTCCATAACTGAGGTTATAAAATGGAAGATGACAAGATCATACAGGTGACTTTTCCACCTTGCCTGACAGCACTTCAAACTTCTGTGGAAATGAGTACACTAGAGATTTGGTCACAACCTGAAGAAAACCAAAAATGCTTTAGTTGCGTTACATTCCTGTATCCTGGTACAGCTGTGTAAAGGATTTTACTGTAACTGAGTATCACGTCAGAGCTGACAGACTACACCAATAAAATCTGTAATGTATTGTAAGTAATACTCTGTATATAGTGCTATTTTGTGTCTAATTTGCTGTGGATTTGTGTAAATTGATTAAATAAAATTTGAGGTTTCATTGTGTCTTTTCCTTCTTTTTGGAGAATGGTGGTCACCACCTTTTCTTCTTCTGTTCTGTTTTACAAGAGTAGACATGCCAGTGGAGAGAGGACTGGATCTCTGGGCTTCGGCAGAACCACCTGCTGACAGTATAAAAATGAAACGGTAGCTGTTTTCCTGGGGAGTTGCACTTAAATGGAAAGTGAACTTCAAAAGAACACAGGCTGCTAAAAACAAGTAAATGAGGCAGTTATTTTGACCCACCCTTTTTATTAAGCTCAAAAGTGATATACACAATTAAGTATATATATATACATACATAAAGTTTCCCTCAAAACACATGATAATTCTGCTCAGGCTGGGGCTTAAGCATCTGCTTCTACAGGCTTCGGTACACAGACCTTCTGGTTAGCCACCGCTTCTCCATGCTTTAGTACTCACAACCTTGGAGCAGCTTCTGCAGAAGCATTTCCTCTTCATGTGCTCCCTTTTCCAATGACCTTCAGGCACCGTGGGCAGGGAGTGCTCGAGGAATCGGAAGTGTATCTCCTGCAGCGAGGGCATTTTGCTTTGGCAAGGGGTAGGGCTATAACTTTATATGAAGATTCTTCACGGATATCACCGCCTGTTAAAGAAAGCATTGCTACTGAGATCATGTAGTTAGCATACTCAACTAACATATGAAACGAACCACAAAGTATTCTGTAGTGCGGAAATCTGTCTGGAATAGTTCTCTTACCTTCCAAGTTAATCAGAAAGGTCCCTTTGATGATGTTTGCATCTGCAGATGTTTCTTTAGGTAGCTCACTCAGCAGGGTTGTCTGAGAAGCCATCATTATTTCATTCAGCTGTGAGACACTAGAAGTTTCTTCAGGCTGCAGTGCCTAGGGAAGAAAGTTACTTTTCAGACTTTGAAAGTGTTTTTTTGTTCCTCAGCATCCTCCTCCTAGAAAATATTACACAGTAATTCTACTTCTGCTTTATGTGATTGCAACAGCTGTCATAAACTTGTGCTCTCTTCATGGCAAGACTGTTTACACACACATGTGCCTCTCTAAATATCTGCATCTATAAAATTATGTTTAAATCCAGCATCAAAACAAGTCTACCCCTGCAAGCTCTAAGCTGCTCCATTTGAAACAAATGCTAAGACAGTGGTTCCTAATCAGAGCAGATGACTTGAACCAAGAGTCTCATTTACTTACTCTTGCCAGGAACACCCATCCACCCCTTACGGCCTTGAACTGCAGTGTCCAAGGTTCCCTCTGCAGAAATTTTCAAGTTACTTTGATCCTCACATCGAGAAAGCAGATGGCATAGGAAGAGCACTGCCAGTGGCACTACAACCACGTGCTTTCAGGGGGGCCCGGTGACAGGACAAGAGGCAACAGACAGAAACTGAAAGATGACCTTCCAGGAAAACCCCATAACACTTTTTTATTGAGGTTGGTCAAATGCTGGCACAGGTTGCCCAGAGAGGTTGTGGAGTCTCTGTCCTGAGTATTCAAAACCCAACTGAACCCAATCCTCGGCAACCTGCTCTAGCTGAGCCAGCCTGCGCAAGGGGCTTGTACAATCTCCACCAGTCCCTTTCAACCTCAACTCGTCTGATTTTCTGGTAAGTACAAAACAGAAGAAAGTTTACACAAATCTAGTATTTTTTGTACAGACAACACCTTTATCCTTAGTTGTGTATTTTACCTCCATTAATTCAAACAGCAAGCCAGGTTCAATTACAATGACAGCTTCATATTCCAAAGCATTCTTCCCAGAGATGGACCCAAGGAAAGAGTCTCTCATTGCACATGCGCCTTCTATTGCTTCCTCGATGCCAGGCTTCTTCCACGCTGAGCTTGCATTAATCCAGCCAGTCCGAAACACACCCTCGGAGTCTTGACAGCAAAGCAAACAAAGGAATTTTTAATTTAGTGTCTTGCTATTCCAGTGTTGTTTATTAATAAAAAAGAATGGCATTCCGTATTTGCATTCCTTTTAACTATGCAATTAAACAGGGCACTAGAAGAATTTCTTAGAAATCATACACGCTTTACCTTTCTTATAAGGGATGTGCTGAAAAACCTCCTCTGCCAAGTGAGGAAGGATTGGTGCAAAGGATCGGACTACTATGTCTAAAGCCTCTGCTAGCACAGTCTGACATGAACGACGCTTAGGATCCTTTTCGTCTTCACAATAGAGCCTGCAAGACAGAGGTGAAAGCTGGAAAGTATTTGTATGTTTGCGTTACTGTTCTTGCTTAAGAGCCATACTTTCAGGACTGCCATGGAAAGCACAGAAGTCTGACCCAGCTTCCCTTTCTAAGAAAAGCTTTTCTTAATTGCCCTTCCCAGGCAAGCACAGTAGTATAGGTACAGGAGTATTTGCATATGCAGCCACATTTTGTTGTAGGAAAGGAGATTTTGTCCATGGCATGTTAATTTGCTTCATTTGTATAGATGACAATCTTTCCTCAGGGCGGTGAGCCGGCAGCTCTATTAGCCCTTTGTTCTGGTTCATCTATAAAATCTAGCATCAGGGCGTTTTTATTCCCCTTTACTGCCATTCTAGAAACTAAAGACCAGTATAACCCCTGATCAGTATAACCCCCTGCCTCCTTCCCCCATGAAACAGCCTTTTCAAAATTTACAAAGATTCAGCCCCATCCTTAGGATTCTTTACCTGTTTCTTAGCTCAGTTAAAGACATTAGGTTGCCCGGGTAAGTGCTAAAAGCCCTTCCCCTACCTTCCCAAATCCGGATGCACACACTAAGAATCTACCTTTAAAACTTTATTTAGTCTTAAATGCATACGCTTGATTACCTTTCAAAATGATTCAGTACCTCGAGTGGACAGAATACAAAAGCACACTGATGACAAAAATACTCAGCTGAAGGCAGCTGAGGCTTCACCTGTGTGCTTCAGTGTACTGCAGCACAACACCTAACTGTGAAACACTCTCCGAGATGGCTGGGTTCCCTCAGCGTTCACCTGGAATGTTACTACCTCCATCTCAAACTGATTAACTTGGTTTTTTCCCCCCTTTTAAAGGCAACAGTAATGAACTTACCTGTCTTTGACTATGCTGAAATAAAAGTTAGACAAGTTTCTGGAACAGAATGCTTGCAATAATCGAACAACTTTGCTATAATCATATTCTTTGTATGCTTCTGTAACCTGGGAAAGGGAGCAGAGAGAGACAAAAACAGTGTATCAGTGTTCATCACATGGCATACAATGACAATCCCTGATGAACCTGAACTTACAGAAACTGTGATGAGTCACACAAAGTCAGGGGGATCTTTTCTTTAAAAGGTTGTTGAAGGGGAAAAAACGTTAATTCAGTTAACCATTAGGACAAAGAAATAATTTCAATTCAAGTTTGAGGGGAGAGGACAGCAGGAACCTCAGAAATTACGCCCATACTTTCCCATTCAGCAGAATGGTTCTGAGTGACAAGAATAACCAAATTTTGGACTACAGATTTCCAAAGCTCTGGATTTTTTTTTTTCCTTACATCCTATTCCAACTATTTCTAAAGACTTCCAATTGGAGGCCTTGGGCAGCAGGGAGTAGGAAAAACTGTTCAACTTCAAAACCAAGTTAAGAATGTTAAAACCAAAGCCTTCCTCTCAAAAGTTCAAACAGGCTTAAAGAAGTACACATGGCATCAAAGAAACCTTCATGGTCTTAATTTGCCTACTTGATACATACTCTTTACTCATCCACTTAAAGAATTTTCCCTAGAGAGCATAACCAATGGAAAACATTACACATATATTCATCTAAATACAATTTACCCCTACCTTGCTGCCATAATTTTGCAACAAATGCAGCATGTATTGATCT